TCCACACATATCCCATGTGCCATGTGATACCAATCACAGTTAAACAAAACTATACTCTTCTGTCAACCTTAAGTGTCCATGGTACAATAACTTGATTACCTCTTTTAGGACACTATAATAATCAGTCTCATCTTCTACACTAATTATGGTTTCTTTTAAAAAACCACAATTATACATCTTTCTGGTACTAATAAACTCTTTAGTAAAAAATATGAAACTATTAACATAGTAACTGTTCTAAAATTTCACTTGAAAAGTCAGGCCAATTGCAAGGTGGATATGTTGTTTGCTAACTTCATATTGTATGCTAAGCACTTATAAATTAAACATTTTAACCATACAATTTAATTTATTTTAGTACCATGAGGAGATCACTTTGATTTAGCGTTAGAGAAAATAGTATATAACAATTTTTTGCTATGTTTTTAAACCAACTAACAAAAAAAATTTATCCGAGCTCTCTGTAGTTGTTTGGGGGTAATATTTGCTCCAACTTCACCAAATTTCCTGAAAAACAACAATTAATTAACATGAACACATAATGGAAATCATCTCATCCTTTATGTTATAAAAGGGAGTAAAATTTACACTAGTCAAAAATCAACCTCCTTGCAATTTAGCAAGACATATAACTACATCCTTCTCCTCTAGTGTTAAACACTATGTACATGATTGTACCCCTATTGATTGAGCAAGGTAACAAAACATGAAAAACTGACTATTGACATTCCTCTCGATGTCAGCTTAATTTCCTAGTGGCTAATTCTAGCTTGTATCAACATCATCTCTAAAGCGAGACCAAAAATTTGTTATCTTATATAATATGAATGACTCAACAATCGATGCCCTTATGTGATTTTTGTTCCCTATGATCCTCTTAAGTTTGCACATGCACATGGGGAAACAGATTGGGAAAATTATTTTAAAAAAGTCTTAATAATTAGTTTTAATTTTATTGATTTCTTTGTATGTCTTACCTTTTAAGTGGATTCATCTAATGAAATTGAAATTGAATAAGACCACTAACTTTGGCCTTATATGTAAAGATGAATTGCTAGTTACTCTATAGAATTGAAGAATGCTACGAGAAATATTGTCTCTAATTTACAAATTGTTTCAAAAATCTTTGCCTTCTATATCTACATCTCATTAGGTCTAATGACCATGGAATAAAGTGAATGAAAGAAGTTACTAATTTTGGTCAAAAGACCCCACATGGTGGCTAACAATAGACTGCAAACAACAATTGGAATTAGTCATTGTATGAACATGTAAAATCATGGCTTTTCATCGTGAATAACTCAAACTCATTCAAGTTAACTTTTCTTGATGTGTTAGAAGCATATCCATCTAGGAAGCGTAGCTATTTCAATCATGCACACAGAAGTTTCTACTTTTATGTGATAAGTGCATGAGTGACACTAGGCTTCACAAGCTTACTGTGTTTATCATAACCCATGTAAAGTTTTTACCAATCACAATAAATTGCTAAGTCCAGTCTTGTGTTTTTATTATCTTTTGTCATACTGTCATCCATGATGGTGTGAATTATATTCTTAAAGAAGGTTTTCTTATAGTGCATTACATCAAGATTTTGTCCAATTAGATTCTCCTACCAATATGAAAGTTTCCAAAATATGCTCTTCTTCACCCAATTGTGAATGTCTCAAAAACCCTTAATTGTCTAGTTTTCAAAGGGTTTTTGAATCACACATTAGGACGGGCTTCAACTTGGTGATGGATTGAAACACTGTTTAATCAAGGAGAGGAAGCCTTGAATTCAACTTAGGCTTTTAGAAAATTTTTTACATCAAATATAAAAGGAACAATTAGGGTAAAAACTAATGATGACCATTGAAAAAAGATGTTTTACAACCATTTTGAAGATAGAAAGATTGTGTCATCTCCATGCATTATAGAGAAGACAAATAGACATGAGTGCTCCAGCTAACCATGTTGTAACTTGGAAAATTAGTTATAGTTTACATCAACAAAGCATGCATTACAAAGTTTTATTTACAATAACTATTGTATGTTTCCACACCACTCAACCATAACTTTTTGGTTAAACCCCATTTTGGTCCCTCTATTTTAACAAAAAAAAA